ATGTGCATGTTTATCTTGTGCTTTTCTTGCCAACCAAAATAGATTGTTGTGTCCTGGGGGAGGGAGGAGGATGGTTAAGTAGAAGGTAAACGACAGGCGCTGCACTTTGATAGCAGCAAGAACTAAAATTCTTATTGTTGTTATAATAGCTGAGTGTGTAATTAATCATCTCCTATTGATTTGCTCTTCATCTGGATGCAGGGCACAAAGGCTGAAGGAACTCTCATGTTATTTAGCTGCCCCATCTAATCAAAGAGAGGATGCGAGTAAGACACAGCAGTGCATTAGTAACCTGTGGGATGAGGGCAGCCTTGTGTGGTGGACCTTCATCCACAGAGCCAGGGAGCAGCAGTGATAATGAGACCTAATCTAAATGAGCTTGGTGCTTACAATCCATGTCCCAGAGGGGCTGTAAACATCACAAATATTGATACAGGATCAGGAGAGAGCAGGGATTGATTAGTGGTCAAGGGAGCAGGATGTCCTAATCGTCTCTGGTAGTGCTGATTAATTTTATCAGGGAAATGAGCCTTAAAATAGATTAAGGGTAGAAAGGGGAGCTTGGCAGTTGAAAAAATAAAAGCCTTTTCTGTCATTGTGGCCTTTGTGAATTATTGAGCAATATGTATCGAGAGACAAAATGTATGTATATAAATTATATGTAACTTGTTCTTTGGACCTTTCATTTCTGTAGCCTATTTCCCGATTTGACTTTTCTTTTTCTATGTTAAAATAAAATTTGTTTTTTTTCTCCTTTCCAGTTGAGATCATATAGATTAAAAACTTTTAATCAATATCTCTGTTGCATACAACATCATGCTGCTGGCTTTTTCTCCTCTACAGTGGCACATGTTTCCTCAGGGTGCCACCTTGTCTTTCTAGAGGTCTTTTTTATAAGACAATGGTGATGTTTTGCTGGGATGTTGGAGGTGTGAGGGGATTCAGACAGTTAACCCGAACAGTTTCTAACTAAATCCTTTGTAGCAGTGTACAACTATTTTCAGATCAGCATCAGTGTATCTCTAGTGAAAAACCAGTTATCATCACAGCAGTGGAGAGTTTAGCCCTGCCTGTAATCTTGATTCCCTTAAGGAAACTCTTATTTGATCTTTTCAAACCAAAACTGAATAAGCAGGCTGGGATTTTCTAAACTTTTAGTAACAGTATAAGGAGAAGGAGCAGCAACCAATTAGTGTTTTGAAAATACAGAATTCCAGCAAGTTGCTCCTTGTGACAGGTTTCATCTATTGACTGATTTATGGGAAGATCAATAGTGTTCAGGCTGCAGATTCATCAGCTGAGGCAACTCAGGCTGCAACATCTCATTTTTAGGGAGATGTTAACAGCCATCTGACTTAGTGTAGAAGGTGGTGTCATTCACAGAGTCTGTCTGGAAAGACCCAAAATCAGACAGCCAAATTCATATTTGTAAATGTTTTGATTTAAAGTTTGTGCTGTTGAAAGAAATCTTTAGGGATATCTTGATGTGTGTTTGCTCTCTTGCTGCTGTTAAATCTACCTGCCTTTAGTTTCTTGTACTGAGCTGTGGAAAAGTATGTGGGTGGAATGAGAGATTTACTTTGGCATTCCAGGTGTTGGGCAGGAAAAGAAAGTATCCCTATCACAGAGATATGATGGACCTTTACAAATGGAAGTGTCCAAGGCCAGGCTGGACAGGGCTTGGGGAACCTGGGTTAGTGGAAAGTGTCCCTGCCCATAACAGGGGGTTGGAACTGATCTTTGAGGTCCTTTCCAACTTAAACCATTCTGTGACTTTGTGGTAGATCTATTCCTTTTCTTTTTAAAATTCCAAACACAGGAACGAACTACATCCCGCCTGGAGATGCTTTTAATTTTCTCTGAACTTTTCCCATTGTGCAGTGGTTCACAGGCACCACAGCCATATGATTAGCCCAGGCTGCTCTTGCTCCGTGTTGGTCTAATTATCTGTTCATTAGCATCTCAAGTCTTGAGCTGGAAGTGTGTAGGGTGTCTTTGTTTAAAGGGCAGTCTCCTAATGCAAATATTAAGAGAGCTTTCTGCCTTGCCTGAGTCAGACTGACAAGCTAATAATAGCCTTGGTGTTAGCCTTGGCTAGCACAGAGCACCAGTGCAAAAAGGTTTTAAGGGACCGGTGTATCAATCAAATCGTGGCCCATAATATGCCTTTGAGTCTTTTGCTTGTTTTAACACTTAAACTCCCATTAAGAAATAACTTCTGAATGCAAAGGGCATGGCAGTAAAATAGGAGCTGGTCTCTAATACACCACTACATCCACGTGGGGCTTCAGCTTAGTCCTGGATGGCCTCTCATTAGCAGAGTCCCACGGTGCTAAATTGTACCTTCACTAGCTGTAGCCTTGTTCCAGAAGCTGTTCTGAAGTTTAGAGGTACCAAGTGAGTCAGATGGCTTAAAAACTGCTGTGTTGACTGTGGGTGTGTGGGGAGCTGTGAAGATGCTGAATTGTTGGAGAGGGCATGTTTGATTCCCAGCTTTGCCAGCACAGGATTACATGTTATGCAATTGCTGCAATTTAATTATAGTGTTTCAGCAGTTTTGATATCTGCCTTTAAATTATCCCAAGGGCATCAAGGAGGAATGGCTTACTTTGAATAAATCTTCATAAACATATGAGTCTGCTGCTGGCTTGTTTTGTTCTGTGAACGTCATTTGTTCCCATTAACCATATCCTAGAAGTCAATACTGCTATTCCTGGAAACATGGCAATATCACATGAGGAGGAACTTGTGGGATGGGCTCAGTGTGTCATTACAACAATTGTCAGCTCCTCTCTTTTATTTATGGAAGAGCGATGCATATGAATGTACCTTTATCTGGAAAGTTTTAGGCAATTCTAATAAAAGGAGATATGCATGAATTATCAGAACATGATGTTCTATTCACTGGAGGGAGAATCATTTTAAAAAGCCTGCTAAGTGAGGCACGGTTGCTAAGTAAGGCAGGGGTTTTATTAGACCGACTGACGTAATGGAAAGGAAAAAAAAAGATTTTGGGCACACGAAGATCATCTTTGGATGGGAAACAAATGGCAGACTTTGTGTTAAGGATGGCTTGGGAACAATGGCTCTGAACTTCAGCTAAATATGTTAAATGGAGAGGTAATTCTGGAGGGAAGAGGTAGCTGGCACGCATGGGAAGGATTGCTAAGTAATGGAGATGGCATTGGGAGTGTGGGGGAAGGCTGGTTTCTTGAGGAATTTAAGGCAACCTGAAACTGGGCTGTGACCATCTCCTATTCTGCTTTGAGTGTTGGCACCCAGGGCAGAGCTGAGGAATGGGAAATGCAGAGCAATTTTGAGTCTGGACTGTGCATTAGAGGAGGAAGGACATGGAGGGATGTCCACTGGCAGTGTGGCTTAGGAGGATGGAGATGATTGCTCTAATTGCTCTAAAGCCTGGGAGAAGCAGATATTCTAGTTCAGGAAAATAACTTCTGTCAAGGTCAAGTGTTGCAGTAGAAATGGACTCTTTACTTTTTTTTTCCATGGTGATACAGGACCAGAGCTTACAGCTGTGGGCTTTCTTCTCCTAACTTCCTTTACATGGGCTACCTGAATTCCTGAGGGCTCTTTGGATTGAGTTTAAATCTGCTCTGTTCCTCCTCCTGAAGAGTCCTCGTTGGGCAAAGCTCCTCTACCCTGAGATGATGTCCCAGGTATTCCCTTGGGAGCTGTGGTGCCTTTGGGAGCCTGGCTGGATGTCCCATTCTCCAGGGGATAATGACAGTGTTCTGCACAGCACTGGGACTATTGTGCATTTGATCCAGGCAGGGCTTCTGCCAAGTGTTCAGCTCAGCAGTAAAACTGATCATGATTACAGTATTTTCTTGTTCTGCACAGGCTTAATTTAATGATATTTGTAAACTACTTGCAGACCTGTGGATGAAAGATGTTCTCTTACCTTGTGTGGTGTTCAGGCTTAACAGGGAGCCTGAGAGATGAAAAGCACCATAAATCCTGAATGAGATATTAACAATACCCAGTGTCAGTGATGATGACCAGCTGCCAGGCAGCTCTTGGGCTGGAACTGCTCTCTTATTAGTGCCACCCCCAGCTTTTCTGGCACAGGGTCTCTACCTGTGAGGAGTGACAGAGGAAACAAGTGTTGATCACTCTCTAGCTTGGAGAGGGCTCAGACTGAAATTTGGGGAAGGACTTGTCTGCTGGCTGGTGGTGTTGCCAGAGTGGGTATAGAAAGTCCCTGTTCCCGCTGTGTTTGAATTATTGAGGGAAAAAGCCTCACCAGGGTGTCTTGGGGAATTGGTGATTAAATTATTGCACTAACGATCTATAAACTACTCCAGAAAAATCAGTGAGTTAATTTCATTCGTGTCACAACAGGTTCCTGCCTTAAAAGATGACAAAACCCCTCGTGCTTTATGGTTTTAGTTAGACCCTGGATGTTTGATGCTGTTTGTTTTCTGTCATGCAGAATTTCCTGATTTATACCAGGGCAAAGAAATCGGGATAAGGCAGACAAAATCTCTGCAAAACCATCAGCATGTAACCTTTTTTTTGACCCTCCATACCTCCTGCATTCCTGCTATTTTTGTAACTTTGGCTAGGTAGCAGGATGAAGATCACATATCATCCTCCAAAGCAGCGCTTTTATTTTGGTCTTGTTATTTTAGGAATAATCAGCAGAGAACAAGGATACTTCCTCTTATGAATTTTGTGTGTTTCCCTGAGGGGACTGATAGCGAGGGGGGCTCTCACAGAATATGCAATTTCCCTGGAAATGGTTTAGATAAATCTCATCTGCCCTTGAATCTGTGCTGAATCTTTCATTGACTTGCATGGAGCCTGAATTTCAGCACATTGTTCACATGCTGCCTTCTAAGGCTTGGAGCTGCAGTGTGTTCAAACACCAGTAAAAATTCTGTTTCAAAATGTTACACACAACACAGCTTCATGCATATTTCTCTAGATGTCTAAATTTGGTGTTGGAAATAAAAATTACCTTTTTTCTTTCCCCCCAGGCCAAATGTGTGCCCAGTGCTGGAGCTGGCACTGGTGGGACACCAGGAGCCCTGCATTCAGTCCTTCAGTAGGATGGTCAAGATGTGGAAACAAGGCTGCCCAAAGAGGAGGTGGTGTGTGAGCTATGAGAGAAGGTAATCCATTATCTAGTGTTCTAAATGGCTTTCGTTGCTAATCTTTGTGCAAGTTCTTCAGCTTTTTTGAATTTTTCATTTGAAATGTGTGGTTATGGACATGGTGTCCTCCTGAGATTTGACTTGAAATCTGTTATTACTGAGTAGAAAATGTGACTTTTTAAATGTGTTTTGGGTTGCTCATGAGCTTCGTGGCTGGCTTTAGATTCAGAATTTTACACTGTCTGAAAATGTTCCTGTCTTATTCTTGTTCAGGTGAAGCCCAGCTGTCAAGTCATTGACTTTAAAAAATTGAACTTCTTTCTATTTCTGTCACATGCTTAGAACTGATGGGAGATCTGACTGCCCCAACAGCTAAACCCAAAATGGATTGGGAAAAAAAATAAAATTACTCACCATTGGCTAGCCTGAATACAAATTCTTCAAAATAATATGTGGACATAGCATATCAGAGCTATTGGATGTTATCAGGATGCAGTTTGCTATATTTGCTTCGTTTTTAATGAGAACTCCTGATGGAGGCTGAAAAAATGTCTCATAAATGTGAGATATGAGTACAGTGTGCTGCTGGTGAGGGGGCAGTGAGTGCAACAGGAGTTGTGATTGCTCTCTTAAACTTCCCTTTCCCCACAGGTCTGGCTACTACACAATTTACAAGCAGGTGTACAGGATGGAGCAGCAGACTGTCTATAAGTGCTGCCCTGGCTGGGCCCAGCAGGACAATGAACCTGGCTGTCTGCACTGTGAGTTGGGACAAAAACTGTGACAAACCAAGAGCTGACATCCCCAGGCCTTGCCTTCCCACTCAATCCCCACTTCTGGATACGTGGATTTTGTTTCTTGTGGTTTATAACTGGGATTTCTCCAGCGATGGGGGAATAAATGTCCTTTAAAAATACAAAAAGCACTCAGTAAAAGTAGAAAATAGTTCTAATTTTAATGCACACGGTGAAACAGTTTAGATTAACAGTCTAAACTCTAATTGGAGTTGTTGCAGCATTTTTGTGCCAGCCTGGTTTTGACGGGCCAACCAAATTTATTGCTGTTGCCCAAATTATGCAGAAAATCTGCACTTGTTTCTTGGGTGTAGAACTTGCTGTGGAGTCTGACTGGTTTTGGCATTTTCCCTTCTGCTGTTGCCACTGAAGCAGCTTTATTTCTACCCTGTGGTTCTCCGTCTGATGAGAACCCGTTTCTGTCACTAATTTCTAATCATGATTGGATGTTTTCCTAAAAGATGGAATTTAATTTAAATGATAAGGCAGCACTTCAGCCGCTGTTAACAAGACATCAGTAGAAGATGGCAACCTACTCAGTGTTTAGTTTTGTTACTGTTTAGTCAGTAATTGCATTTTCTATATGAAAGTTAGCATCTGTTCTTATTTATTTTTTAATCTTCATACCAACTTCAGGGCTGCGTTCAGAGAGCTTGCTTTTATGGTTGTCTCTTTGTAGTTAAAAAACAGAAACAAGCCTGAGAGGTATTCCTGTTAGTTTCAGCCTGAATCTACATATTTAGTGTGCACCTGTTTAGTTGTAAGAAGTCAAAAATATGTTTACAGTCTGTATTTTAATCTCTGGTGTAAAGGAGTTTAAGGTATGTGAGCATCAGTGGCAAAATGAAAGTTTCTTCCTGAAAGAGCAGTGCAGACTTGCTTTGAATTCTTTAAGGCACCAAAGTGGTTGAATTACTCTTTTATTGATACTCTTTGCAAGTTTGGCTCAAACATGTGGAATTTAAGTTATTGTAAATAAAACTGTTCTGTGTTAGAGGAAGGGAAGAACTGTAATTCCCTCCACATATGTAATATCTCCCAGTGCATCAGTGGTTTTTAACCATTCCTGCATTATTGTCTGGCAGTTTTTCTTATTTTATTTTGGATTCAGGCAGTGCTTTGAGTCCTGTCTTCTGCCTCTGAAGCCACCTTCAAGTTAAACTGCAATATCTAAGTCTTATTTTTATTAAATTTCTTCATATCAGCAAGGTAGTTACACCTATGATACCAAGTCCTGCTGCAGTCCAGCCTTTGCACTTAAATAAAAATCTGGGTTTCTTCTCATTTGGAAGGTCATGTTGCAACAGGAATATGTCAGAAAGGCAGCTCTGGAGGATCCTTGGCACAAAATCAGCTAAAATACCCATTTTGTCCCATTCTGTTTGTGTGCTCTAGTGCTCTGCACTGCTGGCACTTGCTTCAATGGAGGGAAATGCTCTGAAGGAGGATCCCAGGTGTGCCAGTGTCCTGCAGGATTCCAGGGCCCTCGCTGCCAGTATGGTGAGTCCAGTGGAAATTGTCTCAAGTGCATCTTGTGTTCAGATAAAATGCATCTTCAACAATAATTATTAATAATTATTAATACAAGAATATTTTATTAGCGTTGACTTAAAATTAAGGATGCCTTTGCTGCACTTTTAAGTGGTTATTTGATCGTTCTCTTATTTTTCCAGATTTTTTTTTTTTTTAATTGGCATTGAATTTTAACAAAGCAAGATGAAAATCGAATTTGATTGCTATCAGATGAGTGTCCATGGTGGATAATAATATCACTGAATATCAGCAGTGGTGTCCAGTGAAATATCTGTCTGTTGCCTCTCAGCTTGAATGTTCCTGTGGTGCTCTTACTACGTTTCTCAGCCTTGCTTTTACCTTTGTGAGAGGAAATTCTGAGTCAAAGCAGGTGGGAAGCAGGTGAAGAACGCAGCAAATCAACCACTGTATTTGTTCATGTTTTGTTTTTTTTTTTTTTTTTTTATGCATCTCAAAATAGGAAGGTTTTATAGCTCACTACCAAATATTTCATAGTATTCCTGGAATAATATATGCACTAATCTTTCATTTCACTGTGTTCTAGCATACTATAGACTGAATTCTGTGTGACTTAGACTCTATCACCCACTCACAATGAGAATCTTTTTTGTCTCACACACTGGCTCACAATTTGATAAACCCACAATGGGTTGTCTTGCAATTTAACACACTGTGTAAAGCTCTCCAAAATTACAGAACTGCATCCATTTGGCTTCTTAAGGGAGGGAAGAAAGTCATTCCTTCAGAGTAGGCTGTGATTGGGACAAAGGATTTCTTTTGTATTAGGCAAATGATAATTTCCTTTTCAACTGAAGCATATTGTGCTTTGTTCAAAGGAAGGCAGATTTTTTAAGTGTTTCGTTTTTTCCCTTTTAAATTCTAATATGTTCGTGTCCTCACCTGGCTTGTCTGTCAGGCAGTGTGAGTGAGAAGGACTATAACAATAAATAAAACGCAGAGCTGTTTACAATGGAGCTGGTGCTGCCTGCAGACAATATTAGTTCAGTGGAGCTGTGATTGGGCATTTCTTTACTGCCCACAGAAACAAGTTTGTGTGGGTGAGCTGAGATGAGCCAGAGTGACACCAAGGCAGGTTGGTTGTGATTAACTTGCAGAGCAGCTGCTGTTCCAAGGTAAGCAGGATCACAATCTCCGAGAAGGCTTTATAATAAGCTTTTACCAAATACAATGTATCCCAGCAAATTATAAATTGTCCTTGCAGTTATAAATTGTCTTTTGAGACTCCTTTTTCTTGGAAATACCTGTGGAACTGAGGCATTCCCAGCAGGCAGGTTGTGTGGCTGCAGTGTGTGGACAGCACAGGTCAGATTTCCGAGCAGAAATGAGATTGTGCAGTCTCTATTTCACAGGTTGGTGACTGCAGCCCCTGTAAAAACAATGAGAGGTGTCCTGCAGTCCTTGCTCTTTGCACTTGGGTGGAACTTTTATCTTTGGTCGTTTGTCTGCTTTCTATTGATTCCTGAGGTTTGAATGGAATTCCAGTAGTCATCATTTTCAGGTTTATACAGCAGCTGCTATCGCAGCCTGGCAGGAGGAAGTTTATAAATTGAATTCTGAAGGGAAAAACCTTCTTTCAGGAAGAATGCTATGGACCATTCACCTGCCTAACAAAAGCAAGGTAATTTAGAGTGTAAGGCCTCTTAACTGTTGCAGGTGCCTCCAGTCAGGTTCTTCTGAGGTTTGTGCAAGCAAAAGGAAGAAGAAATGTACTGTGGGACTAACAGCCATAGCCTCTGGTTTTCCTGGCTGATGTTGGAATATTGCTCTTAAAGTAGCTTGGATTTAATGTGCCTGCATTAATCAATACATTCTGGGCTTAAATGATCATTAAGCTTGGTCTGTCCCCTCCTCCCTACTTGTCTGTAAATTGGACAGGTTTCCTTCCATAGCCCGAAAGAAAAAGGGAATCTCTTCCACCAGCATCTTTTCCTTTGGGGATTCAGTGGCAGGGAGGGATGCCATAAATCCAGTTTGGCTTTGGAGCACGTGCTGTGAACTGTCAGTGTGTTAGCTGGCACTGAGATGTGACGGTGCTGTGTCACAGGGGCCGTGTCCCTGTGCCTGGGGACTGTCCCCAGCTGCCAGCAGTGCCCAGGTGCCCCTCTCAGGGGGAGGGAGGCTCCAGCTGGGTGTGAGCCCACGAGCTGCTGGCAGAAAGGTGCCCCTTGCCCGTTCTGGGTTGTCATCTTGGCTTCTGTCACTTCTGGTATTGTGGCCTCCTGTCAGTCTCCTGACACAGGAGGAACCACAGGCATTTCAGAGCTGCACTTCAACTCATTTGAGCAAAATTGCTTCATGTATCCCATTTTATATCTGCCTCTCTCCAAGCTTTTTGCTTTTCTTCTCTGTTTCTGTCATCAGTGTTGACAGTTGATTCCAAAGTTTCATTTGTGCAGCAGCTCTCATGATCTCCTTGCTGGGTCCTGTGAACTACAAACAATAGACAAGAAATTAGTATAAAAATATTACTAAATTCAATTACTCTAAGAAGTGAATGGGAATGTGCATCTCAAGACTCTTCTAATAGTTCCTCTTTTTGTGGAGTTTACATTTGCCATTTCATTGGGAAGTAGGTCAGTGTCCTGGAAATGAAGTTTTGTCCTGAAGAAAGTTTGTGATGGATCCTCCAGAATGACTGGAGACAGCCCAGTGATCAGTGATCTCAGCAGAGATGATTATTCACAATTGGCATGATGGCAGCTAATGACTTTTTAAAGGAATCATGGGGTGTTTTTGCCTGGGACACGATTTATTCCTGATGAGACGCTGAAAGGGTCAGGGCTCCTGATGTAATTGTGTTTAGAAATGTGTTACTGCATCCCTTGTACACGTCACTCCATAGTTTTATTATTTTACCCACACAAGCAGCAATGAAAACTTAGAGAAAGATTTATGAGTGAAATGTTCGAGTTCTTCATGCAGCCATTGCAGGGACTGGGTAACAGATTGAGCTGTCTCTTGCATTGTCTGCTGCAATTTGTCTTGTAATAATAGACTTATATCAATTACAATGTAAACTTGCAAGCTGGATTTCTTTCCATTTTTTTAAACTTGTTTGGAAGTTGTGATCCCCATTTGTCCCAGTGTAAGGGAGGGAAAACCTGTAATAAAAAAGAGAGAAGGTAAAACTCAGTGCCAAGAATAAATTCTGCTGCAGTGCTGGTGTCATTGATATTCACTAGTTGTCCTGGTAATCTTGTTCAAGGTCTGGTAACCACCTGAGCTGGACATGGAAGTAAATTAATTTCATTTAGCTTGTTTAATTAATCCATGAGACTTTTACTTGGACATGCAGCCAGTGAAAACATTCCAAATTCTACAAACAAGGGTGTATTTATTTACTCCTCATGTACCTAGAATTGCTCAATGGAAAATGAGGGGTTAGTTTTGACTCTTAAGTGTTTTGTCATCAAATCTCAAATTGTTGCTGCTTTCACTGAGTGCCTCCTGATGGGTTTTAAAACAAAGTAAAAAACCAGAGTGAGAACTGAACAGGCTTTATAATTTCTTGACTGATGCAAAATCCGAGCATGGTTAATGTTTTGCAAGAGGCTCCCATAATTAAGAAAGAATAAGTACAATTCAGTCTGAGACAATGGGTGCAATTGGAAGATGTTTAAAAATAGGTGAGGAAAGACTCGTCAGGAAAGTCATCTCATGGTGACATGGTGTTTGTCCTCTTTAAAGAAGGCTGAATACAATAGTCCCGTGTTTAGCAGACAAAGTGTCAATAGATTCAATTTTTACACTGATGTTTGCTGTCCCACAAGTGGAATTTTAAGTTCTTTTGCAGTGCCTGATGCAGATCATTAAAGCCTGCAATAAGTGCTTCCCAGGCACACATCTTGAGAGGCAGTGTGCTCTGCTGAGTGCAGTGCTCACCTGATAAAAGCTTTCTTTTCCACCTGCCACTGACCTTGGCTATTTAGTGCAGTAACTTTTAGCAAATTACCCCGCTCTGCCTGGGCTTTGTTGTACATGAAATGTTGATAATGGTGGCTCATTCCTTTGTCAGGTGCTTTGAGACCCGAGTAATTAAGTGCAAGATAATAGCATTGGAATGTGTATATAAAGGCAAAATGCACACTGCATGGGTAGCTAAATGAAATGCTTATGAGGGAGATATTCATCAGTTCATTGACTACCTGTCAATCTCTGCCTTCACTCTGGTCACACACTATTAAGATATTGAACTATATAAAGATTCTGGTAAACAAAAATGTCAGCACCTCCTAGACCAGGTAGATCAGAGTTTACACTATAAAACTGCTTCAAACAAAGGTAGAGGTTTTTTGTTTTTTTTTTTGAAGCCACTGATTAAAATGGCAGAAATTCTGATATATCTTCTTGCAAATAAAAATACTCTTTTCTTTCACTGAAATTTTCTTCCATATTCCTAGGAAATATTTCTTCCTGCAAAGAGCTGTTTGATTCAACTTCTGATTAATGTCCTGTCTGCCATCCTGGTTTCTTGTAGAGATGAAGATTTTCTTCTTTGAGGCAGAAGATCTACACAAGCCTTACAGAGCAGTGTAAATCCAGTGAACCAGTGCTACAAATTTTCCTTCTTTAAAATAGCAAATGGCAAGCTGAAAGCTCCCATGGATCTGTTGCCCATAGGGATGTCTTCAGTTTTCTGTCCCACTGAAACCATAAAATGTTTAAATATTTGTGGGGGTAAATTAGTTCTGATAGCTGGGCCCTCATTGTGCCAGGGGTTTTGGCATTTTGTTTTCATATTTTGGCTATGAGTTCTCTGAAGTCTGACCTAAGATAACCTTTTTAACTTGAAAATTTGCCATTAGCCCATAGGGAGAGTGGAAGAGGATGGCACAAAAGATAATTTATGCTCAGATTGCTGTAGTTTGGTGCACATAATACCTTAAAGATACCAGGTTTGGCTTTTTTTCGTTTTAGCACAGTCATTCTCCTGCTCCAAATGACTC